TTTGATGGTGTCATGGACGCTGTTGATGTCCGAAAGAAATTGATGCGTCTGTTGAGAATTACCACCATGTAGGGCGATAATGTCGTCCATGTATCTCATGACCAAAAAGGGTTGGTTGGGAAGGGGGGCGATGTTTTTACGCCAAAATTCTGCCATAAAAATGTTGGCATAGGAGGGAGCTACAGGTGTTCCCATCATCATCATCATCATCATTAATATTATTATTCTTACTGTTATTGATGTATAATTTTTATTATGATTATGATTATGTTATGTATACATTCATACATACAAATGATTCAATGGACGGCAGGTGGCCCCCCTCCGGTCAGTCCACAGACAACTGGACACCTTCCACATGGACCTGAAGCGGGCCCGGATGTCGCGCGGGGAGTTTAAGGCCATCGCTACCACTCTGTGTGTACGTTGACATTTGGGCCCTTGGGTATGGCCCGTGTACGTATGTTTCGCTTATTTGTGTATGTTTGTGGGTGTGAGGGGGGAGGGTGTGTGTGGTATGTGTGTGTGTGCGTGTGTGTGTGTGTGTGTGTGTGTGTGTGTGTGTGTGTGTGTGTGCGTGCGTGCGCATGTGTGCGCCTGCTTGTGTTGGTGTAAGTGTTCATAGTTGTTATACAAAAGTGTATAATAATTATGTGTATACGCTTGTGTTTGCATGCGGGAGTGTGTTCATTTATCCTTTTATATCCTGTTTGAGTAAAGAGAGGCGTATCAACGCAATAATGGTCATTTAGTGTTGAGAAAAAGTAAGACAGACAGACAGAAACAACAGTGGGAAAGTAGAGAAGAAGGAAAAACGAATGGCCCCCTCCAACCACATGCACCTATTCACTCCTTCCCAACAGAACACACACGACAAGAAGCAGATTGCATTATACACGTTTGTAGTATTTTTTTCCACCATGAAGACCTACTTCTCATCGCTCTGAAGCTGCTTAGAAATTCCTCGAACTATTCCTTGGTCACACCCGTTTTTAATGTATTTTTCTTCAATAAAAGTGGGTGCCACTCGTAGATCCTACTTCTTTTTTCCCCCTCTGTGGTTTCTGTCTGACTTTTCCTCGACACCAAATGACCATCATGTTGAAAATGTGATTCACTTAACTCAATCCCAAACTATTCAATTCAAACTCACCCTATGGGTGGTTGGTGGGTGCTCTGGTGTGATGTGCTCCTTTTTTCATATCAACCATCTGTTGTCCTTATCTGTCCTCCTTCTGTTTTGTGTATGTTACTCTCTTGTAACACATAATCTATTCTTCGGCACTTATATGACCTTATTGTGTTGCAAGTTCCGTAAAACTCTTACTAAAACTAAACTATACTCACCCTGACCACGTCTCGTTTTATTTCCCCACGAGCTAGTCAAACCCAGTCGTTTCCCGCCTTGATCTGACGGAATGCATGCTGGATGACGTCAAGGTCGTGTACCTGTGTGACCTTCTCGCAGAGGATACCTGTTTAACGGACTTGGTAAGTCAGCTGGTCTGTTTTGCTTTTTGTTTACGTTTTAGGTGGTAGGCCCCCTGATATGGCTATCCCCGAAAAACGCTGTCTTGAGAACATCGGAGCTTAAGTTTTTGGACCCTTCACAATTGTTCAGTTTCTTTAAAAGACAAGGAGAGTTTTCTCTATAACCAAACAAATATAGATCTACACACCAATGCAACCAAACCTTCTAAAAGTAGGGCAATGCCCATTTTTGGTGTAGGTCAAGATTTTTGGAAACCCCCGAAATCTGAGTAGCCCACTTGTTCTTGAAAGTGACCATATTTTTGTTATTGGTGTTGGTCGTCTCGTAGTCAGGGACCAACATGGTGTCCTTGGGAAAGGCGCTTTTCCTCACTTCACCGTGATGGCTTGGTCCTGTTGGAGATGGGCTTCAGAATCGGAGATTCTGCTTCTTGATAGAACGAACTCACAATGCTACTAGAAGCTGTAAGGGGGCTTCCGTGGCCTAGAGGTTAAGGTGATTACCTCTCACTCAATAGGTCCCGGGTTCGAATCCGGATAGGGACGGAAATTTTTCTTCTCTAAAAATTGTCTCCTATTTCACCTCCTTTCCTGCTATCCAGCAATGTCTGTCGTCTGCTTTGGTCTCCACTTTCTGCCCCATTTTTCCTCACCTCCTTTGCCCCCTCCCCTGGGCTCCTGACTCTTTCTGTAGCCTTTCTACTTCTACTCCTTGGCTCCTTCTTACAGCTGCCTTTCAGCCACACCCCTGATCTTCTGGTAGGAAAGATCTACACCTAGCCTTCTCGGACAAGGGCTAAAAATCTCGGAGGTCCCGTCCTCAAGTTGCGCGCGTTTAAGATCCTTTGGTGGTCCAAAATCGATAAGAGTAGGCTTCAGCCGCCGCCCGAGCAAAATTCAAAATTTCCTACCAACTAAAAATGTTTAGTGTGTCCCGCGCACTCATATGACCCTATGCAGTTGCGAGCGCCGTAAAACAATTACC